GTGTTGACATTGAATAATTATTGAGATTTTATTGGATTGAAATTGTATTCACATTAAAATTGGTTTCAAGAGTAAGTAGCACACTGCCTAGCTTTGTAATTAAACCGAATGCCAATTCTAAGCTAACTTCAAAATTATTTGTAGGTACATGTTTTTGTGTCAATGGGCCCGCTTCACGGTCACTTCCACCCTGTCTATCAATCAGAAAATGCATCTTTGGTGGAGGTGCGGTCACCTAGGGGATCGAAAATTCGCCTATTTTTGAGCTAGGCAGTGTCGTACCTAGGGGGGGGGGGGGAGGGCAGAGCGGCGGGGCCGGTCCGCCCCGGGTGTCAGCTTAGGAGTGACACCCGAGACCTACTATGGCCATCAGTTATGGTAAGTTCTTTCCACCTATAAAAAATCACGTGGCAGAAAACATACGCCATTAACTCGTCGAGTACCGGTTTTATAGACACAATTAAAAAGTCAAACACCGCGAGGACACCGGTGACCGCAACCTATTGTTCTTTAATTGTGTCTATAAATACGGTGCTCGACGAGTTAAAGAACAATAGGTCGCGGTCACCGGTGACCGCTTGGTGTTTGACAGTTTAATAAAATAATCTAGGTAACTATAATACGCCTCTGGGTGTACGTCTATGGTTCTCGATACTTTCATTATTTTTGAGCTAGGACCTCTAATTTTGTTTTGAAGATATAGCAAGATTGTCATTCAGACTTTTTTCATATAATAGGCGGCACACGAGCAGCCGGATCACCTGATGGTAAGCAATCGCCGCCCATAGACACTAATAAAAAATAAAACAATACAAATAATGAACACAATATTTTATTTCTCATAAATAATATTATTAACACTACAGATATATAAAAAAGAAACTTCTTACTATTTAAGTTCAGAATGGAAGCTAAACTATAAACTATACAGGCATAGTGCAGTAATAATCATAATATGCTCATGACTATCGCCTGAGCTCCACCGTGGCTTATAACTAGTCGAGTTATCTTGTACCGCACTTCAGTTACCGTAAAACATAATTAATTTAATAATATTTCACGAGAATTATAATATTACAATTTCACATCGATCTTGGCGTATATACAGCTTGGCAAAAAAGAGTTTGAAACAATAGAGGTCGCTAGTATCGTACTTGTGGTAACCTGGGTGCTTATTCTTGAAACCAATCTCAATGTCAATGCAATTTCAATCCAATAAAATGTCAATAATTATTCATTGTCAACACTATACAACCACAATCGTAGCTGTTACAATAGCATTCAGAGTACGGAATAAAAAGCCAAACTCAATAACATTTAGTTCATTCAATATCCACGCATGCAATGGGCGCTAGTGTTGTAACTCAAGAGTACGAAATTTTACAATACCAATGTCGATCGATCGGAATTGGATTCAAGGGTAAGCCCCCTGGTACACTACGACTCAATCTGTTTTGATATTTGTTATGTTTATCGAGTTTAAAAAGAGGAGGTACTGTGTTCGGATGATTGTTTATTCATGGGATGTGGTCCGAAGTGGGTGATTCAGTCCGAGGCAATATTAGTTGCAGCTGTCACCGCGTCATATTCTTTTTGCCAAGCTGTACAGTATGGATAAAAATAAATATTTTCAGTTTTCAATATCTTCTTATTTTACGCTTCTGTTTCGGGTTCTTCTTCTGGTAACTCTGATAATGGAATGATAGCAGGTGGAGTGTTGCTGCTACAGGTACAGTAGCAGTTCTTGCCATCAGGACCCTTCGGAAGAAGGAGGATCTTCAAACGCATATTTGTCTCCAAGGCATTCATAATTTCTGTAATAAAAATGTAACATTATCTATCTATATATTATTTGTTTGAACGCATTAATCACAAGGACTATTGGCAAAAATTTTACTTTTATTGGTCTTTTTATCGAGGAAGGCTATGGAACATCACGCTATGATGAATAGGAGCCGAGCAGCGCGTGTCATCGCGCGGGTATTGGGCCTCCTGTAACCTTACTCACACGACGAAACACGACATAACATAGATTTAGTTTTTTAAGGCCTAGCTATCGCAATGGAGAACCCTGTCATGATAGTGTAGGTAAGGTTTTATATAAATAAACTAGCTTTTATCCGCGGCTTCGCTCGCGTCACAAAATGATAAAAAGTAGCCTATGTGACATATACCAATACACACAGCGCCATCTATACCAATACTTTTGTTTTCCCTCGGGAATATCAAATTTTTCCGGGTTAAAAAGTACCCTATTATTTAATCCGGACTTCTAACTTTACGTCTGCAAAAATTCAAAGCAATCGGTTTAGTAGTTACGGCGTGATAGTGGAACAAACAAACAAACTCACTTTCCCATTTATAATATTAGTAAGGATAAATACAAACGAAATTGTTTCACTATTCACTATGGTACAGCCGTGGTATCACTCCGGTTGAGTTAGCCCATCTGTACTGAAGCATTGCTCACCCACACTTAAATTAGTAATTTTACTGAGATTTCGACATCATCAAGTGGCTAATTTAATCTCTATCCTCCTAACCTAACGGATTAACGTGGCTCCGGCTCGACGTGCAGGAGAAGGAACGGGGTGGTTTTTAGTCAGTAAGAGTCTGACACTCCCTCCCGCCTCACACAGGCGGGAGCAGTCATTCGTTTATGTTCCCCCCTTAAAAAAAATATCAAGAATAAAGAAGCAAAAATCAAAGACTCACCTTTACGACCTTGGTTGATACAAAGCTTGCCTCCTGCTTTGGGCATTCCTATATCAGTCTCGAATTTCACACCCTGTTGGCCGGGAGGTTTTGGTTCGGGCGCATATGTCGGTTCGACTGATCTTCTTTCCGACAACGTAGGTTGTTTATCCATAATATTAGTTTTTTCCGTCTGATTTATTGTGTTGTTGTTGTCGAAAGTGTTTCTTGCGGTGTTGTTGGGTTGACAGTGGTTGTTATTTGCTCTGGTTGTTGTATTTTCTCAGTAGTTGTCGACAACTGCGTTGTGTCTGCAATGGTTTTAACTGTTGTGTATTGTTGAGTTGATTGCAATACTGTTGTCGTTTCTTGCGTAATAACTTGAGTTGTTGATTCTTCTAAATTAATCTTCTGCGGTTCTGTTACTATAGTTGCAGCTTCATTCGTTATTTTAGTAGTTTCTTCTTTCGTTTCTTTTTGAGTTGTAACTGGAGTTGTGGTGTCAATTTTATGATCTCGATCATTGAAATCTTCTTCTGTATCAGTACAGTCAACGTGAGAACTATCATCGTCATATTCATTTGATTGACTGCCTTTAGTATTTTTTTCAGGACTCTCAGTTACAGGTTGTTCTTTAGCAATATCTTTAGCTTTTTCTGTATTTTCAGCTTGTAAAGGAGCTCCTGTAGTCACATTTTCAGTTACCGGAGCTTCTGTTTTATTTATTTCTGAAGCTACATTTTCAGTAGTTGTCTCTTGGTTTTCAGGTGATAGAGTTGTTGTTGGTGGCTGGTTACTGTCAGTTGTTGCTTGGTTAATTGGTTCAGTATCTGGTTTATTTGTTGTTACAGTTGGTGATCCTTGTGTTGTTGGTGATTCCGTACTTTTGATTGGTTCATCACTCTGTTGAGTTGATGGTTGGTTTGTAATTTCATTAGCTGGTTGATTAGTTGTTATATCTGATATTGGTTTCTCTGTAGTTATTTCAGAAGTATGATCTGTGGTTGCCTCAGTGATAGCATTAACAGTTGTTGTTTGATCATTTGACGTTGTTGTTAGCGATGACTCAGTTGTTTGATCAGTAGAAACTACTTGTTGTGTTGTTGTAGACTCCTCAGTTATTTTCTCAGTAGTTGGTAAGTCAGTTGGTGCTTGCTGAGTAGAAGTTGCAGATGTAGTTTCGTCTACGACTTTCTCAGTGGTTACAGGTGACTCAGTAGAGGCTGACTCAGTAGTTGTTTGCTGCTGAACAGTTGTTGATAAAACAGTTGTTGTTTCAGCTGTTACAATATCAGTACTGGTAAGTTTTTGACTATTTTCATTAACATATTCGTCAGAAGTTTCATAAGAATCATACTGTACTGTTTTATGATATTCCATTGATTCAGTTGAATGTGAATCATACTCAGCAGATGTGTAGCCTTCTTCTGACTCAAATTCCGTAGATCTTTCTTCTTCTAAAGTACTTCTTTCTTTTTCAGTAGAAATTGATCTTTCAGTTGATAGGTTCGCAGTTTCAGTAGCAACAACTGGTGTAGTTGAAAGATGTTGCGAAGTCGTTGATGGGTTGTCTTCAGTAGTTGCTGATTGAGCATCTTGTGTTGTTGGTTCATCAGTTGACAGTTGTTTTAAAGTTGTTGATGGAGTAACTTCTGTGGTTGAAAGACCTGGAGTTGTGTCTTGTTCAGTAAGTGATGCTTGAGTTGTTGATAGAATATTTGCTGTTGAGTCACCAGTAAGTTGTTGATTTGTTGATTCAGTAGCTGGTTGTAATACTGCCTGAGTTGTTGAAACGGCTGGAGTCGATTGTTGTTCTGTTGACGGCTGCTGGTCAGTGGTTGTTGATTCTTCAGTAACTTCTTGATTAGTTGTTGGTGATTGTGTTGTTGAAGGCTCTTGAGTCGTTAATTGCTCAGGTTGTTCTGATGACGGCTTATCAGTGGTAGTTGAAGATGTATCTCGTGCAGATTCTTCAGTAGATGGTTTAGCTTCTGGCTGAGACGTAGATGGCTGAGTTGTCGAAACAGCCTCGGTTAATTGTTGTTCTGTCGATGGCTGATCAGAAGATAAGTTTTCTGTATACTTCTCAGTAGCCGGTTGCTGAGTCGTTGTAGACTGACTAGTGGACACAGCTTCAGTAGTTAATTCCTCAGTAGTTGCCGACTGGTCAGTAGAAGAAACATATAGTGTTGTTGCCTCAGTTGGCTGTGCAGTTGTTAATGACTCAGTGGTAGACACAACTTGAAATGTTGACAGCTGATCAGTGGAAACAGCTGCTTGTGTTGTTTCAGTAGCTGATTCTGTTGTCACTGGTGACTGAGTGGTACCTGTTCAGTGCTGGTTACCTGTTCTGATGATGACGAAGAAGATGAAGAGTCTGATGACGAAGATACATCCTCAGTCGATATCTCCTCAGTTGACAGTTGTTCTGCGGCTATTGTCGACTCAGTTGTTGATGAAGCTTGAGCTGTTGATATCTCAGTAGCTACAGACCGTTCAGTAGTAGTAATCTCTTGTGTTGACACATTATCAGTTGGCTCAGTAGTCGTAGATGAAACTACTTGAGTAGTGGCAGCCTCAGTTGTTAATGACTGATCAGTAGAAACTGATTGCGTTGTTGTTATTTCTTCAGGAGAAGTTGGTTCAGTAGCTATATCAGCTGATGAAGGTGTATTTTGAGTTGTAAGTCGTTCTGTAGTAGGTTCATCATGAGAGGGTTGAGTTGGTGGAACTTCTGAAAGAGTTGTTGTAGATGAAATATCTGTTGTTGAAGGATTATATTGAGTTGTTGTCGGAGCTTCAGTTGTTAATTCTTCTTGCTTTGTTGACGAAACTGGAGTTGTAATTTGTTCAGTTACTGATTGAGCTGTTGTTGTAACTAATTCATTAATATTTGGTTGTTTCGAACTAGACATATCTGTGGACGATTGTCCTAAAGTTACAGTTGTCAAAGTCTCCGTTGTTGAACCAAAAGACATAGGAACAGTAGTCCCCTCTACCGATTCTAGATCCTCAACCGATTTTGAGTCGTATTCCCCTTGTCTTTGAGTTTCTTCTTCGGAACTGTTTTCAGTAGAATCATACGCAGATGAGTTGTATTCTTCTGAGCTAACATATTCTTCTGAATGGTCTATTGATGTAACTTGAGTTGTTGTTGATTGAGTTGTTCCTTGGTCTTTTATTGCCGAAATAGTTGTTGGTTGGTCTCCTGTCGTGGTCATAATAGAAGATTCTGTATTGTGTTGACTTGTTGATGCAGATTGTTCAGAAGTAACTTCGCTTGTTGTATCAATTATGTTAGCTTCTGTTGTAGAAGTAGTATCTTCTATAGGTTGTGTAGAAGTTTGACTAATATTCTCTTCTGAGGCAGTTGTTGGTGACTGATTAGTTGTTTTATCAGCAGAATTAGCTTCTGTGGTTGGTTGTATAGGTTGTGAAGAACTTGTTTGATTAATATTCTCTTCTGAGGCAGTTGTTGGTGACTGATTAGTTGTTTCATCAAGAGAGTTAGCTTCTGTGGTTGGTTGTATAGGTTGTGAAGAACTTGTTTGATTAATATTCTCTTCTGAAGCAGTTGTTGGTGACTGATTAGTTGTTTTATCAGCAGAATTAGCTTCTGTGGTTGGTTGTATAGGTTGTGAAGAACTTGTTTGATTAATATTCTCTTCTGAAGCAGTTGTTGGTGACTGATTAGTTGTTTTATCAGCAGAATTAGCTTCTGTGGTTGGTTGTATAGGTTGTGAAGAACTTGTTTGATTAATATTCTCTTCTGAAGCAGTTGTTGGTGACTGATTAGTTGTTTTATCAGCAGAATTAGCTTCTGTGGTTGGTTGTATAGGTTGTGAAGAACTTGTTTGATTAATATTCTCTTCTGAGGCAGTTGTTGGTGACTGAGTAGTTGTTTTATCAGCAGAATTAGCTTCTGTGGTTGGTTGTATAGGTTGTGAAGAACTTGTTTGATTAATATTCTCTTCTGAAGCAGTTGTTGGTGACTGATTAGTTGTTTTATCAGCAGAATTAGCTTCTGTGGTTGGTTGTTCTGTAGTTGTTTCGACTGTTTTAGTGTCAGCTTCAGTTGACGGTAAATATGTAGTTGACATTTGTTCTATAGTTGTTTGAACTGTTGTTATATCTGATTCAGTAGATTTCTCAGTGGTAGTAGCCTCTTCAGTGGTTTCTAAAGGTTGTGAAGTTGTTGTTGTTTGAATTGGTTCAACCGCTTGAGTTGATGAAGTCGTTTCAAGGTTTCCTTGTTCAGTTGTTTGTTGTTCCGTTGTAACAACTGTTGTTTGTTCTTGAGCCGTTGTTGTCAACAAAGTTGGTTCTTGAGTAGAAGTTAATTGAGTTGGAGAAGTTTGTTCAATCGTCTCAGTTGAAGTAATTTCAATTGGCGCTTGTTCAGTAGAAGTTGGTAAAGAAGAATTGTCTGTAGATAAAGAAATGGCTTCCGTAGTAGAAATTGCCTTGTCAGATGTTGTAGGTGTATTTTCTTCTGTACTAGGAACTTCAGAACTGAACTCTTCTGAGGAAGAAGAGGAAGAGCAGTCAGAAGATGAGTCTTCTGTACTTCTGGAACGTGAAATGTAAGTTTCTGTCGAAGTGAATTTCTCAGAAGTTTTATCTTCTGCCGCGGTGTTTAAGTCTTCTGATTTGGTTGTAGTGCTTGATTCTTCTTTTGATTTTTGTGTTGTAGTTGTGGATTCTTTGGTGATTTCTACAGCTGTTGTGTCAACGCTAGATTCTGTAGAAGGTGCATTTATATTTTCTGTGGACGTAGGTGTAGTAGATTGTACATCATTGACAGGGGATTTTTCTGTGGTCTTTTCACTAGCATTATTACCTTCTGTGGTAGTTTTGGATTCTTCTGTTGTGATTTTAGTTGATGTTTCTACTGAAGACGTGGTTAATATCTCTTCTGTAGGCTTAGAATCCTCTTTTCTTTGTGTACTAGCTTCTACTGATGGTGTAGTCTGTTGGTCAGTAGTTGATTCTTCTTCAATTTTCTTCTCAGTTACGCTGTATGTAGAAGATTTATCAGTTACTTGTTCAGTGTCTTTCGGAGTGGTATTTTCAATAGTAGTCGGTGAATTTTCAGTGCTAATTTCAGGAGTTTGATCTAATTTTGTAGTCTTTTCGACTGATTCGTCTCTAGGAGTTGTATTTGTTGAAACTTCTGGAGTTGTCCCTTCTGCACTCTTTTCTGTAGAACTTTGGGTTACAGTTACATTATCTTCTGTAGATGGAGTAACTTCTGCAGTCACATCTTTAGCAGCAGTAGACTGTATAGAAGACTGTGTAGTTAAAATGTCATTTAGAGTCTTCTGTGCCGTGGTTCCTTCTGGAACTTTCGTTTCTTCAGTAGAAGTGATCACTTCTTTGGTATACTCTTCTGTGGACGTCATTTGTTCTGTTGCTTCTTCTGTACTGCCAGATTCTTCTGTAATCTTTTCTACAGTAGTTTCTTTTGCAGAAGAATTTGGTATAGTTGTTAATTCTTCTTTAGCTGTAGTCTCCTTTATTGTTGATGTTGTAGTGTCTTGTTGAACATTATTTTCTGCTGTTGCGGCATTATTTTGTTTAGTACTTGATTCTTCTGTAGTACTTGTAGGAGAAGAGGTAACTTCTGTGGCATATTCAGAAGATTTTGCCGTAGAAGTAGTTGTTGTTCTTTCTATGCGTGGTTTGTTCTTCTTTATGTAGTCTATCGCTTGGAGGATAGCTGGAAAGGTGAATTAGAAATTATATTTTTTAACACTGATTGCGGCTTTGACATACATTTTTAGAATTCATTTAATATATGTTAGCGTTTTTTTTTCTCAGTATATTATCACAGCCTTTATCTAAAGCAGCTACCTTAATATGATATATTATAATAATAGTAAATAAGAGTCGTATACTACGTTAATGTTAGTTTAGTTAAATATTTTTAGGGAATCATAGCATCTGGCAGACCCGAAAGAAATTTTATGGATCACCACAAAACATTTCTGCGTGCGGGATCGAACCCACTACACGATGTGCGGCAGCCACTGCACCAACCGTGCCATCTCTTTTTATCTGTTTTCGTCTCATGTTCCAAAATATAATTCGACTTACTTGATTGCCCGGTTGCCCTTTTCAGGTCTCTCAAAGCGTCAATGAAATCTGTGGAAAAATAAATGTTACACAATTGCGTGGTTTCCTTAACACGTTAAACGCCATGGGGGTCACCGGTGACCGGCGTTAGCGGAGGATTTACCTTCAACAGTTTTTTATTGGCAGTCAAAGTCTTAAGAATAAATCTTCCCCAAAATAAATTATTTCGACTGTTCAATACAATACAATAGTACAAAATAATCACACTTTCATTAATGATTTTATAACCAACTTAATTTTAGTATAAATATTTCCAGATTTTTTATAACTACATGTAGTTGTTGCTGTTGTGGGTGCTGACGCCCAATTTCGGCAAATTGAAACAAAAAAAAGTTATATACATAACATAACATCACGCCTTTTATCCCCGAAGGGGTAGGCAGAGGTGCACATTATGCCAATGTACAATGTAACACCCACTTTTCACTATTTATGTTATGAGTCCCATGTAATAGGGGGTGAGCCTATTGCCATATACCGGGCACAATTCCATTTTTAAAAAACCCAGTAATACTTTGCCCGACCCGGGAATCGAACCCGAGACCCCTTGCTCGGCAGTCGCACTTGCGACCACTCGGCCAACGAGGCAGTCCAAAAGTGATATACTAAAACTTTCATATTCTACGCGGACGAAGTCGCGGGCAACAGTTAGTCATTGAATAAGTATTAAACACTCACTGTCGGTCGCCGTGTACTCTTCAGTTATAAAAACAGCTTCCTCCAAATCTGAAATGAAACGAAAAATTTTTAATTTTATATGATGAGGTTTGATGTACTAATACTAGTTTATAAGTTGTATATGTCTTTACTAACCATATGGATTGTATTATCTGAATAAATAAATTAATTAAAATTGAAAAAGTTAATTAACTAAAAATCGCGGGTTACTCACGTGAATATACTGAGAAAAGCTCTATTAGTTTTGAACCACAGAGGGGCTCTTCCTCATGAGCAGCGTGCACGGTCGCGGCGATGTCGCACAGCGTACTGACATCTACCTATCGAAACTAGTAGAGCTTTTCTCAATATATTCACGTGAGTAACCCGCGATTTTTAGTTAATTTAGTATGTCTCACGATAGTTATTATGAAAAAAAATAATATTAATAATTAACAAAATAAATAAATATAATATTTAAGTGTGGGAGAGCCACGCTTCGGCACGAATGGGCCGGGTCGACCGGAGTGATATCACGGCCGAGCAGAAAACAGACGTGAAGCAACGCTTGTGTTGTGTTTCGACTTGTGAGTGAGGTTACCGGAGGCTCAATTACCCCAGATTCCCCAATCCTTGAAAGGATTAGGAATTTGAGATTTGTTGGAATCCTCAAATTCCTAACTCCCCAAAAGGCCGGTAACGCACTTGTAACGCCTCCAGTGTTCCGTGTGTCCATGGGCGACCCCGATTGCTTACCATCAGGTGATACGTCTGCTCGTTTATATCTCATAAAAACAAATAAGTTTGTATTTTGAAAATTGATATTATCTTTATATATATAATTCTGCTGTACGCGTGTATGACATTGAACTCCTCCTAAACGGCTTGACCGATTTAAATGATTTTTTCTGTACGCGTTTGAGTGACGCCCTGGATGGTTTAGATTCACAAACCAGCCCGGCAGATGGCGCTGCAGTCGATGTTTAGGTTATTTATCCTAAACAGCTGAACTAATTTGAATGAATTTTTGTTTATACATTCAAGTGGATATGCAGGACAACGTCTGTCGGGTCCGCTAGTATTATTATATATATTTTACTCACAATACGCTTTGCTGATCGTAATAATGTTTTCGAAGAACAGGACGATATCTGTAAACAAAAAAATTATAACACAATTATTGACTGCACGGTTGGTATGGTGGCTGGGCAAGCAGCTGCGGTGCAACGTGTCGCGGGTCCGATTCCCGCACGGAACAACACTTTGTGTATATATCCACAAATTGTTGTTCCGGGTCTGGGTGTCATGTGTATGTGAATTTGTATGTTTGGGAGCGCACTCACGATATGGGAGACAATCCTTTTTTTTTTTTATGGGGGGAAAATCATCGAATGACTGCTCCCGCCTGGGTGAGGCGGAAGGAAGTGTCAGACTCTTACTGACTAAAAACCACCCCGTTCCTTCTCCTGCACGCCGAGCCGGAGCCCCGGTTACCCGTTAGGTTCTCCGCGACTCCGAATCGGCATCGGCCCTATTGGGCCCCACCTGTGGTGGTCTGATGGCTCTTTGAGGCGCGCGCGGAACGCGACGCGCCGTATGGGAGACAATCCTAGTGTGTTTAATCCTAAAGAAAAGGTTGCCCCACGGTTTCTTTTAGAAAAATAAATAAATATAGGTCTGCTCCTTCAGAAGAGTGGTAAACTCAACTGACCATGTATATTGTATTGAATATCTTATATCTTATACTATTATATAAAGCGGAAGAGTTTGTTTTTTTGTTTGTTTGTTTGAACGCGCTAATCTCCGTAACTATAAGTCTGATTTGAATAATTATTTTTGTGTTGGATAGCGCATTTTTTCCATTTAATATACTGACCATGTATATTGTATTTAACATGCATGGTCAATTATAACATAACATAACATAAAATCACTCCTTTTTATCCCCGAAGGGGTAGGCAGAGGTGCACATTTCGGCACTTAATGCCACTGTACAGTGTAACACCCACTTTTCACTATTTATGCTATGAGTCTCATGTAATAGGGGGTGAGCCTATTGACTCCGTGCTACTACTGATATTTTTTTTTAAAACCCAGTACCTACTATGCCCGACCCGGGAATCGAACACGAGACCCCTTGCCCGGCAGTTGCACTTGCGACCACTCGGCCAACGAGGCAGTCTTTATTTTAATAGTAATTAATATGGAGATGTAGATACTTACCCATTTCAGTAATATCAAAAATCAGCTGAATTATATCGAACAGTTCTGAAAATAAAACAATAAATATTTATTAATAGCTTCTGCCCGCGACTTCGTACGCGTAATCCCATTTTTTCCCGCCCCCGTTCGTGATTTTCGGTAAAAAGTAAAAAAAAGTTGTTTAAAAAGTATCCTATGTCGGTCTCCTGGCTTTAAGCTACCTCCCTACCAATTTTCAGCCAAATCTATTCTGCCGTTCTTGAGTTATAAGTGGTGTAACTAACACGACTTTCTTTTATATATATAGATTTGTGTTTCGATATAATCGATGTGCAAACATTACACCATGTAAACGGAACGCTCTCGACAATGCTGACATAAAATTGTTTAATTACAATAGGGTAATTAATTTCCTTAATTGTATTTTTATGTCCGTCTGGTACATTAATTTAAAACTTTAGACACGTATTTTTTCTTTTCTCGCCAAATTAAATACTTTCAACAATACATTAATTTGAAATACCGTGTGACGTCACACCATGTATTGAGAGGTTTAGACAGAGGTGCACTAAATAGTATAAAACATAGTCGCTATCCGCCGTCTGTCTGTCCCTATGTATGCTTAGATCTTTAAAACTACGCAACGGATTTTGATGCGTTTTTTTTTAATAAATGGAGTGATTCTTAAGAAAGGTTTATATGTATAATACATGAATATTCGACCCGTGCGAAACCGGGGCGGGTCGCTAGTAAATTATATAATGTAACACCCACAGTTCACTAGTTAAAATACGAGTTCCAATTGCGAACACTTCCCAATTGTCCACAGAAGAGACACAAATTGACCACAGAAGTGATACAAGAATTGTCCACATAAGTGATATAAGAATTGTCCACAGAAGTGACAAACAAATTGTCCACAGAAGTGACACACGAATTGCCCACAGAAGAGACACACGAATTGTCCACAGAAGAGACACAAATTGACCACAAAAGTGATACAAGAATTGTCCACAGAAGTGATACAAGAATTGTCCACAGAAGTGACAAACAAAATGTCCACAGAAGAGACACACGAATTGCCCACAGAAGAGACACAAATTGACCACAGAAGTGATACAAGAATTGTCCACAGAAGTGATACAAGAATTGTCCACAGAAGTGACAAACAAAATGTCCACAGAAGAGACACAAAAATTGTCCAGAGAAGTGACACACGAATTGCCCACAGAAGAGACACAAATTGACCACAGAAGTGATACAAGAATTGTCCACAGAAGTGATACAAGAATTGTCCACAGAAGTGACAAACAAAATGTCCACAGAAGAGACACAAAAATTGTCCAGAGAAGTGACACACGAATTGCCCACAGAAGAGACACAAATTGACCACAGAAGTGATACAAGAATTGTCCACAGAAGTGATACAAGAATTGTCCACAGAAGTGACAAACAAAATGTCCACAGAAGAGACACAAAAATTGTCCAGAGAAGTGACACACGAATTGCCCACAGAAGAGACACAAATTGACCACAGAAGTGATACAAGAATTGTCCACAGAAGTGATACAAGAATTGTCCACAGAAGTGACAAACAAAATGTCCACAGAAGAGACACAAAAATTGTCCAGAGAAGTGATACACGAATTGTCCACAGAAGAGAGACACGAATGGTCCACAGAAGACATACAAAAATTGTCCACAGAAGAGACACGAGAATTATCCAGAGAAGTGACAAATGAATTGTCCACAGAAGTGACTAACGAATTGTCGACAGAAAGGATACACGAATTGTCCACAGAAGAGACGCACCGAAAATAAATATCATTTCATGCCAGATCTTTTTAATACAAACTTACCATCGACGTCACTGATCTTCTTCAGCATGGAAGCGGCAACCTTAATATTAGTAGCGTTGGTTACTCGTAATATCGTTTCCAGGAATACAATCACCTCTACATCCGTGTACTTGTACACTTCATCGAAGAATACAAATATATCTGAAAGAAAAAATATGTGCTGGGCTTAATTATAGTACAGAAAAACAAAACGAAAATGAAAAGAAATCAGAAATTAATATGCAGCATGCGATTACCCAGCTACTGTATTGTAACTTTCGTGAGACACTAACTACTAAATAAATTATTATGTTTTCGGCTTACTGACGTAACAATTTGACGAGGAACTCGACTAGTTATAGTGATTAAGCCGAAAACATAATAATTTACCAAGCTACTGCGCCAGCGGTGTAATCTAAATATTCTTTTTTATTAATCTTTTTTTTTTATTAAAAAAACATTGCCCTATATTGGGATTTTCTCCTATGTCGTGGGTGCATTTACAAACATACAAGTTCACATGACACCCAGACTCGAAACAACAATTTGTGGATCACACAAAGAGTTGCTTCGTGCGGGAATCGAACCCGCTACACGTTGCGCGGCTGCCAAACCAACCGTGCAGCCTATGTACCTAACGATAGCATATTAACATAACATTAACTTCGCCGTAGATTAACTACTTCCAAATAGACACAAGTGGACCAAAACTCACCGTCTATAGATGTCACTGTGGCGATCACTTGCCACGCTTCTTGGAGAGCTGAAAGCAAATACAATATCAGTAAAGTAGACATAGTAATGAAGTTATTAGTTCCATGTATTGGGCGAACGTGAAGTGACTTATTTCGATTTAAGTATATGTATGTACGTTCTAAGATCATTTAGACATCACTGACAAACGGAGAAGGAAAACATCGCGAGGAAACCTAAGCTTATAATTTCTAGTTTATAAGTTTGAAATCGCCAATCCGCATTGAGCACAATAACAACGAATATGTATCAGAGATATTGTAGAACATACTTTTTTAAAAAGAGCAACGAATGGAGTTTCTTGCTCGTTCTTCTCCATTCGAATCTACATTTTGGAATGAGCACCTAGCTTCACCTAGCTTCACTGACGGACTGACTGACAGACTATTATTTATTTTATATTTGTTGACGTTTCAAAAGTACCAAATTATGGTTTAATTGAAATAAATGCTTTGACTTTGACTTTGAGCAAGCGTGATGAAACCTTCCCCGTGTGATAAGAGGCCTTTGGTCAGCAGTGATCATTTATAGGCTGTTGATGTTGTTGCTGATATTGATTGAATATTGGGAATCCAGCATCACAGTCGCGAAATATTTTAACTTGTAAATAAAAATCAATAAATGTCCTAAAACCAGTTATTTTCCAATAGGTTTTGTAGAAGCTTAATTCCATTTACTGTGTGTCAACTAAGTATGAATTTCAATGGGGACTGAATTATATTTTTTTACAATTAACACATTTGATGCCGTGTCGGACAATGTTGACCGACGCTAGCGGAGGATTAGCCTTTAACAGTTTTTGTCGGCAACTAAATAAACAAATATGAGTACTCACATTTGGTTCCAGTGATAGACATTAGCCTTTTGAAAAAGTCTATAATATCGTCGTGTCCTGAATTAACGCGAATTAACTCCAAAAAGTCCAAGAGATTAGCTGAAAAAAGAAAGTTTATATAAACAGGATCTCATGTAATGTAGATGTATCGTACTTAGGTATCGTCGTGAGCTAATGTTCACATGTAAACAGCGGCTCATGTAAAGAGATTGTCCAGTCAACTGATGGTAGCGGTGACTGTCCAGGCGACACACGTACTTAGGTATAGTCATGAGCTAATGTTTATATGTAAACAGCAACTCATGTAACTTCTGAAAAGAGTGTAGTGTTATTCTAAAATCTACTTACTCTCCTTAGAAGTAAGACCCAAAATGAATTTGGCAGCTTCTCTAATGTTTTTCGTTTGGGTTACGTCGAGTAAAGAATTCAAGAAGTAGAGTGCATCCTGACGTTTGGACACTTTATTTATTTTGTGTATAATATTAACAATATCTGAAAAAGAAAATGAAATAAATAAACAAACAAATCGAACAAAATATAATTACATTTTGTTTGTGACACAATATACAAATAATTGTGTAATTTGTACATTTGCTAACTAAAGATATAGTATTGTTCGCTAAAGATATAGCCGTTCGGAACTATACTCAGACCAAGATCGACGTGAGATGTTCACAAACAAGCCATAAGTGTATTTGTCCGTGTGTATGTACCCGCTACGTCCGTCCCACTCCCGCCCTCTCTCTCACTCTATTTACTGACAGTTCTGAGTGATGACACAACTATACAAGCACACAAACTGCTATTTGCTGCGGACCTTTCCTCGAACATTTTTTTTTATACTTAATAGGTCGACATTTGACCACTATCTCGCCTGACGGTAAGCGATGATGTGGCCGACGATAGAGCACGCCTACCTATGAGCAACCTGTTCACTCGGGACTTGAAGACACCCAAGTTATATTTATTTTCATATTCATATTTCACGTCGATCTTAGCCTGAGTACAGACGATGGATACAATAATTATGTATAAAGAAGTGCAGGTACTTACTGTCCGTCCCAAAAGCATCTTTGAAAGCAGCTTGAACTTCCAGCAAATTATCGTTTCCTCCAATTTTGTGTAGGTTCTCAATTATCACCCTGAGACCTAAAAATCATTGTAGATTTAGTAAATAGCGTAAAAAGCCTAAAATATAGTCATCTATAGATCAAAACAAAAGCTTAAGCTTGACTACTCGATTGTATAGAAGCACTATTTTTATGGATTGTCAGTATGCATATGTGAGCACCATGTTAGACTATAAGATTTGTTTTGTTTTGTTTTTATTTTAGTAAGTTTCGTAATCTGTATTATGCGTCAAGCGTGTCTTCGCATTGTTCTCACATATACGTACAATATTGGATGTATCAGTATCAGATGATCAGTGAGATTGTAAAACACATAGTTTTTTAAATGAGCAACGAAGAGTTTCTTTCTCGTCCTTCTCCATTCAAATCCTACATTGTGGAACGAGCTAGCTTCACTGACGGTCAGACTGACAGACTATTATTTATTTTGTATTTGTTGAAGTTTCATAAGTCCTTTAAATTATAACCTTAACTTCGACTCTACACGCAATCAGAGGACTAGCTATTTCTCCGGACAGATAATAAGCACTGCCATTCAATATGGCAATGCTACCAGTTTTCTGGGAACATTTCTCAGTGACAGTGATCCGGATGAGTACTTTGTTGAATGGAGGGTATTTTATTTTTGTTTCTTTTCTTTCTTTTTTAGTCTCTTTTCTCTTTTAGTTTAAAGCTTAAAAAATGATAAATAACTTACTTCCTCTATTAACAGCCTGCGTCAGTTCTTCTAAAGCGTACTTTGTTTCTGAAAAATAAATAAATAAAATTAAAATGAAGTAGGTTTCCTGTATGTATGTATGTATGTCCCGGAGGGTTAACGTATGTTCGTCAAGCACGAGGGTGCGAGTCCAAAACCTGGTAAATACCTACCTAGCTTGACATGAAATACAGAGAAGAAAAACATCGGTTTTTTTATTTTTGATGGGCCGTCGCTTCGCCACTGTCTCGTGTAGTAGTAAGCGATGATGCGGTCTACGATGGAGCACGTCGTCCCATAAGCAACCTATTCACTTGGGCCTGAAGACACCTAGGTTATACCTATGGTGAGAAAACCTAAATTCTTCGAGGGTGTTGCATTCATCGTCACGTTGGATGCCGTGTCGGACAATAATGTCCGACGCTAGCGGAGAATTAGCCTTTAACAGTTAAAAGGCTAAATAATTCTGCTAAGGCTTACTGCTTGTGACAAAAGGCCCAGTAGTAGGATAGTTAATGGCTGTGGCGACACTTGTCAACAGATGACGTCATAAAATTCTACATCGCACATGCGAAGTTTACAAGCGAATAAACTTGGATAGAAAAACCCAACGAACAACTGTCGGGTTGGACGCCGCGTGAGACTCCCGCCCGCTCGCCGGGCTCCCCCCGGGTCGAGCGCGGCCCCTAGCGGCGCCCCCACTGGACACGACCATGTCCCACCAACAGCTTGCTGCTCGCTGGGCTTGCCCGGCTAGAGCACGGCTTATGGCGGAGCAAACCACTGGACTCGACAACGCATCGGGCCCCGCAAGGAGCCCGACTAATCCAACCCCTCGCAGAGACAGGCATCGGCCTGGATCGCGCGACCTCGCGTCCCCAGCCGGGGACGCAGAGAAGACCCGACGACAACTGTTGGGCAGAAAGCCCGCCAGCACCGATCACCTCGCCTGGTCGGAGGATCCTCCTTTTTCAATCTTAGGGAACTTTCCACTCTGTTCCCTAAAGTGTTCCACTCTGTTCCCTTAATGGCTGACAATGATAATGATGTTTTAAAATTACTTACGGGTCTGTTTGGTTATCGATTTCAGCATTACTAAACTGTCTGTCAGTGATTTTGTGTTCAGTAAATGATTGAGCGCTGCGATAGCATCACCGATGTCTGTAAAAAATAAGCAATTACGATTATAATAAATGGTCTACAGAAACTGTCTACAGGATATATCCTGTAGACAGTTTTGGATGGATTTTTATTTTTTTATTATTATAACTTTTGATACAAATAGTTATAATAATAAAGTTATAAAGGTTGTACTAATTTCAAATTAATGGGATTCTTTTCACTTGAGACCTATTTTCTTAGTTATTTGACACATAAAACAACATAACATCACGTCTTTTATCCACGAAGGGGTAGGCAGAGGTGCACACAGAAGTAACACCTACTTTTCACTAGTTATGTTTTGAGTCTCATGTAATAGGGGGTGAGCCTATTGCCATATACCGGGCACAATTCCAGACTCCGTGCTACTACTGAGAATGTTTTTTTAATCCCATTAATTTGAAAGTAAAAAGAATCCCATTAATTTCAAATTCTTAGTTATTTGAGTTATACGTTTTCTTAAATCTTTATTAATATTTTATTTACAAATAATATAAACTTAAACAAAATAAATACTAACTATTACTGAATATATACAACTTAAGATACAAAAAGATAAAAATTAAATAAAAGAAAACTAAAAATAAGTATTTACACAAAGCATCGAACAATTTGTCGGCAATCGTTTTCGTAATAAATTTTCAAATAAAAATAAAGTCTAAATTTTAAAATAAAAACATCTGATACATTTGTATTTTAATAGGCAATGAACTATTTTACATAGGTACTTAGAAATTAAAAGAACACATTTTTTTAAACTAAACTCACCCACTGTCCGTGTACCCAATAATAGAAGATTGAAGGCTCCTTTCAGGTCTGAAAATAATCAATAATTTAACAACTTTTTATGTGCACGATGAGGACCTATTGCATCGGACTTATGGTATTTTACAGAACATAACATCACGCCTTCTATTCTCTGATAGGTTAACAAAACTGTAGGTATATTCCTTTAGTCGAGTCTTAAGATACCTGCGGGAAGAGAAGCAGTGGGAAAATGTATTCTTCTACACTCACCACTCGTTTGACATGATGAATGAACGGTTACTTTAACGGCGTATTTATTAAGTTTTTTATGGGATAAGCCGGTAAGCGAGCAGACGGATTTTTTTGTTTTTATTGGGTCAAGCCCGCCATAACCTCCCAAAACCGCTGCAACTCCTGTAAGACAGGATCTACAGTACATACAACCATGAAAACACCGGAACACTGAAGTCCGGCGCGTTCCAGGGATATGAATAACTGTCTTGGTTCCCGCAACGAAGTGAATCAGAAGATATTATAAGAGGAGAAGAAAAAAAATCAACGCCGCCTATGGACACACGGAACACCAGAGGCGTTACAAGTGCCTTACCGGCCTTTTGGTAATAGGGTAGATGCCTAATTTTTATTTTAATTAATGTCCATCTGGTAGATTATTTTAAATCATTAGACACGTATTTTTTAACTTCTTACTTAAATTGGGCCTCCGATAATATCACTCACACGACGAAACACAACGCAAGCGTTGTTTCACGTCGGTTTTCTATATGACGTTGATTATTTAATTATTATTTTACCTATTTCTGGCAGTAGAACTTTCAGTAACCTCGGGAATTCAGCCGGACCAAGGCCACTCGTTAGTTTTAGTATCTCCATTTTCAGGCCCTCCACACCTGAAAATAAATATAATTTATTATAACATCATCATACAAGATAAAATCACGACTTCTTAATTTTTTTATGGGATAAGCCGGTAAACTAGCTGGCTGATCATCTGGTGGTAAGCAATCGGCATCGCCCATAGACACCTCGAACACCAGAGGCGTTACGAGTGCGTTAACGGCCTTTTAGGGATTAGGAGTTTAAGAATCGTTGGGGATTGGGGAGATCGAGGAAGGGGAGGGGGGTAATTAGGTCTCTGGTAACTTCACTCACACGACGAAACACAACGCGTTGCTTCACTATGGTTTTCTGTTAGGCCATAGTATCACTCCAGTCGAGCCGTCCCATTCGTGCCGAAGCATGGGTCTGCCACACTTAATCCACAAAAGGTTACGTAGAGGCATATATACAATGTAACATACACTTTTCACCAGTTACTTCATGAGTCCCATGTAATAGGGGGTGTCTGTTACGATATGAAAAAGGCTATAATAGTACCTTATCAGGAAACTGTTACCATATGATCGAACTCCTGGCCCTAATAGTATTTTACTCGTAAATCGAGCCCGGGACGCCTTGGTCAACAGTCGATATTGTCCATTTGTCCATCGAGTTAAACTATAATTAAAAATTACTAAGTTATAACTTACCATTAGTATGAGCGATATGTTCGAAGTGATCAGCTATTTCATGAGGATCTGAAAAACAAATAAAATAATTAAATTTAAACTTGGTTTGTAAAATAATAACCATAATTTTTTCGATTTTTAAAACAAAGCTGTCTACAGGAATCCATCTATACCGATACCAAAATTCATATACAATTGGTTGACTAGTTTAAGAGAAAAGGATAACAAACATCTTAACTCATCTTAATTTAAAGTTATATGTAAAACAATTACCTCTTTCTCCAGATATTTTCTGTAGACTCTCAAGAATTCCGTCGAAGTCGTCGTGTCCAATCAGTGGTTTCATCACTGAGAATGCTTTCAGCACATCTGGAATTAATATGACAATATTAAAAATTAAGTAAATTCCTCCCTCCCCATTCTCCACAATCCTCAAATCCCTGAGACCTTTTTTTGAGGGTGAAAAGTCATCCAATGACAGCTACCGCTTCGGACGAGGTGAGAGAGAGTGTCAGACTCTTACTGACTAAAAACCACCCCGTTCCTACTTCTACTTTTCGGACCGGAGCCCCGTTAACCCGTTACGCCTTTCGCAGCTTCATACCGGCATCAGCCCTACTGGGCCCATCTGTGGTGGTCTGATGGCTCTTTGATCCCTGACCCCTAAAGTTCGCCAACGCACTTGTAGTCCTCTGGTGTTGACACTACTTCTCGCTTCACTCTTCTAGACGGGGGCGGCGATTGCTTACCTTACCAGGTGATCCGTCTGCTCGTTTGCCTTCTATTCCATAAAAAAGTACTCGGAAGGAGAATAGATGATTATTCATGCTTACAAAATACTTCTTCTCTGTCGTCCCGGTCTTGGCAGAGCGATCGTGGTCACGTTAAGGTGGCTATATTTGTGTTGGAGGCCGATACAGCTTTCCTCACGATCTCCCGCCATCTCTCCCTGTTTGTGGATTGTCTGGCGCAGTCTGACACTGGATTTCAGTACAGCGCATAGGTCATCTACCTCGTGATCTGGTTCCCTCTACTTTCCCCTGAACGACCAGCCGCTCTATGGAGTTGCTACCACGACATGGATAAAGTACTGCAGTATGCGCGTCTGTACTATGGTTGATAGACGCCTTGTGATACCGAGTTCTTGGAGTATGGAGACGTTGGTGCGGAACTGTTAGAACCCTAATAATAATGTCTACTATTTCGCTGATTTGCATTCTTGCCGAATTACCAAACTGCCTGTATATGTTCATTTTATACGTAGAAATAATGTTTTAGCCCCCACTCCTAAACTTTGATTGGTTTTATCTAAGTATTGTTTTATTATACGACAAAATAAAAAATACGTGTCTAATATTTTTTCATTACGTAACTTACGGACTAATTATTTTTTTAATTTTATACCCTGTTATCATCCCCATTATTATTTGCTACAAATAATCATGATTTTCCCGAATTCAGTGCAGTTTTAGTCTTGACTTGACTCAGGTTGATATAATCGTGATCTTCGAATCCAGTCCAACTTGTTGGTTTTCATCCCAAATCCCTGATCTAGACCGGGTCGACATAGCCTTACACCAAGGCAACGCAAAATTATGAGTGTATTCCAGGACATTAAAGTGTGCGAGAGACACTCCAGGCGTCGGGGATCGCGAGGCGATCTCCGGCCACCGTAAGCACGGGCCTGCGGACGGAGAGCACGGGTGGCTCGCCGCATGACCAAAACCAGACCCGAGCGTACGGCGTGTCGCATTTCGCGCGCTTCAGAGAGCCATCAGACCACCACAGATGGGGCCCAACAGAACCGATGCCGATTCGGAGCCGCGGAAGACTTAACGGGTTGCCGGGGCTCCGGCTCGACGTGCAGGAGTAGGAACGGGGTGGTTTTTATTCAGTAAGAGTCTGACACTCTTCCGCCTCACCCAGGCGGGAGCAGACATACGATGATTTTCGACCCTTAAAAAAAAAATTACCGGATCGACACAGCCCTACACAGAGACAACACGCAACTATGAGTGTAGTCCAGGACATTAAAGTTTGTTTAATTATAACTTTTACTTAAATAAATAAACTCTTGAGCAATTCAAATGTGGTTTTTCATATCTGTCGAGTCGCCCAGAGTAACAGAACACAGTCCACGATACGCCAAGCATCTTCCTATTCGATAAAAAGAAAAATATTGTGTTGCGTGCATTTGCTTACCGTCTTCATTGGTCATCTGTTTCAGGATCCCCACAATCGTTTTCAGAGCTGAAAAATTCAATAAAGAACATTTTAATAATTTTTTAATGGCTACGTGGATATAAAAATAAATAACATAACATAACATCACGCCTTTTATCCCCGAAGGGGTAGGCAGACGTGTACATTTTGTCACTGTACAATGTAACATCCACTTTTCACGATTTATGTTACGAGTCCCATGTAATAGGGGGTGAGCCTATTGCCATATACCGGGCACAATTCCAGACTCCGGGCTACTACTGAGAATTTTCAAAAAATCATAACATCACGCCTTTTATCCCCGAAAGGATAGGCAGAGATGCACATTATGCCACTACACAATATAACACCCACTTTTCACTATTTATGTTATGAGTCCCATGTAATAGGGGGTGAGCCTATTGCCATATACCGGGTACAATTCCAGACTCCGTGCTACTACTGAGAATTTATAAAAACCCAATAATACTTTGCCCGACCTGGGAATCGAACCCGAGACCCCTTGCCCGACAGTCAGACATGCGACCACTCGGCCAATGAAGCAGTCATAAAAAAAAAATCATGTAATTTCAATTAACTCCTTGAGTACCGTCATTATAGACGCAATTAAAGAACAATAGGTTGCGGTCACCGGTGACCGCTTGGTGTTTGACAGTTTAAAGCCGGGGATACAATAGGGGACATATATTCTGCAACACGTGTCGCCAACGACGTCGGGTGAAGTAGTGCAACATCAATGTCGTTATGGACACATGACAATCGGCAAAGCGTCACCGATTCATGGTAGATGTCCCACCCACACGCACGAAGCGCTTCGCATCAAGCTTCCTTGTGCGTACTGCTAAGGAGTGGAATTCTTTGTCAGAGTCTGTGTTTCCTGAAGGGTATATATATAACCTGGGTGCCTTCAAGGCCCGAGTGAATAGGTTGCTTATGGGACGACGTGACCGCATCATCGCTTACCAGACGCGGACAAAGTCGCGGGTAAAAGCTATTTAAATAACAAACTTTTTGATTTTATCTATTAAAACACATTATGACTTACCCGGGGCGTCATCCATAAGCTCCATAAAGTCCACAACGCGATGCCAAGACCTGGCTCCCTTGCATTTCTTCAAGAATATCAGTTTTTTCTGGTCATCTGTTAAAAAAATAGGGGTCTATGAGCGATACTAAAGGATGACGGGCACAATGTACCCTTTTTTTGTTGACAGGGGGGGAATTCTTCCAAAGGCGCCTAGCTTTTTGGGGGAATATTTTTCCCCTAGGGAGTGTGGGATTTTTACCTCACTAAAACCTCCCCGGTGGCCACCATACGCACTTGAAGAGGAAACCGGGTCCTCTTAGTAGACCAACTCCGGAGCCCCCACAGTGCAACGCCTGTTACGGCACCTCTCTATGGACACCTATCTCTCTGTCTGTCTCTCCTAGAGCCTCTCTGCGCACTGCACGGCGGCACGTGACCACTATGTCGCCGTCATCCTGGGCAGAATGTACCTACCGACCAATGACGATCCCACAACGAATTTAAACAAGCCCGCCCCCCCTAATAACAAATGATAATCATGAAATGAGTTTTATAACGATATACGTCTGGTCGTTATTGGTCTGGTGGGTATATTTCCCAATCATGTTTGCAGTAAAGTACACAAAACTGTGATGTAATGCGATGCGTATTCGCAACGCAAAAAATTACGATGCGAATTGTTGCGATGCGATTTCGTGCGACAAGGCGTCTCCCAGGGTGACCATTCCTTCGACGACTGTCAACCGTACTAAACGTATTTTAAATTGAAAACTAGGTCGTGACATGGATCGTAAAAAGAAGTGTGCACTTCTGTTATTGCTTAGGAGATACAGGAAAAAGAAACAAAAAAGATTTTGGGAAGAAAAGATTTTGATGCGCGATGCGAATCAATTCGCCAATTCTTGCGATGCGTAGAGGGAGCTCGCATATTTTTGCGATGCAACGTCGCATCGCAGTTTTGCGTACGAGCCCTAAGTTGGACTTAATACTGACAGCTTTGTCATATGTAGCATGATATCGCAACGAGTTGTTCCGAGCGGGAGTAGATCCTATGATAAGGGTGCTTACTCTTGAAACCAATCTCAATGTCAATGGAATTTCAATCCAATAACATCTCAATAATTTATCCAATGTCAACACTATACAACCACAATCGTAGCTGTTACAATAGCATTCAGAGTACGGAATATAAAGCTAAACTCAATACCATTTAGTTCATTCAATATCCACGCAATACGGATGCAATGGGCGCTAGTATTACAACTCAAGAGTACGAAATTTCACAATACCAATGTCGATCGATCGGAATTGGATTCAAGAGTAAGCCCTGGTGTGTCTGTAATTTTGTAAACATTATCTTACCTGTAAGGCCTGTTAGATTTTCAACGTATTTCATGGCAGCGGCTTCATCTGTAATTATAAATGGATGGTATTTAATACTTTAACTGTAAATCCCTTTTTTCAATCAAAATATTCGAAATTACCACCAAAAATACTGAACTGCACACTAAATTTGCTCATCAAATAAATCAATTATACAATACTGTTAGATCTTTAAAGCTTAACTGTTTTACTGAATGACTATCTTTTAACTAAAGGTAAATCTAATAATTCTTCGAGTGCAGCAAAATATATAACCTAACTCATAGGTTATATATTTTGTAAAAAAACAATACCTAACCTAATATTCAACATTCAACAATTTGTGTGTATATAATCTACCAATAATCTACCAGACGGACATTGAAATAAAAATTAGGCATCTACCCTATTGTAGACTCTGTGTTGTTATACTTAGATTAAAACTTTAATAAGACATGCTACATTAATTATTGTGTTTTCGGCTTGCACATGTAACTGTTTGACAAGGAACTCGACTAATTTCAAGCTATGCTAGAGTCCCGTGCGAACGGCACGTCGCGTTCCGCGCGCGCCTCAAAGTGCTATCAGATCACCACAGATGGGGCCCAGTAGTGTTGAATCCGGCAATTCTTGTTGTGTGTCGTAGCAAATGGTATTTCCTTCTTTCTTTCTTTCTTAGTAGGGCTAATTGCCCGATACGGAGCCGCGGAAGAGCTAACGGGTTCCCCGCTCCGGCTCGAAGAGCAGGAGAAGGAACAGGGTGGTTTTTAGTCAGTAAGAGTCTGACACTCCCTCCCGCCTCACCCAGACGGGAGCAGTCATTCGATGATTTTCCCCCCTTAAAAAATACCGTAATAATTCAAAAGAAAATTGCCAATATAAAAATCGAAGTTTTCATAGAATGTACCTCTACATAATATACAAACATTGTTATGTACATAGACACCGCAAGTCTTTGTGCTAACTACAATGGTTGTCGTACGAATCGAGGTTAAATTTCATAAGTCCAACACTTGTATAAATATAATGAAATATAATCCCCTTACTTATAAATCTTTTCTTTAGTGAAACATCCGTGATAATGTTTTCTTTTAATATGTAGTTGTAATTTTGTATGAGATTAGGTTAGGTAAAGACAGGTAAAGATCATCTAATAAAATATATCTATCTATATCTATCTCTCCTTTTGCGAAGCAGTCATGCTAGCTAAGGAGGAGGCGGGACGCGGGAGGCAGCGTAGCGTTGCCTCCTCACAACCCAGCCATCGCGAAGGACACTCCGGGCGTCGGGGATCGCGGGACGATCTCCGGCCACCGTAACCGCGGGCCTGCGGACGGCAAGCATGGGTGGCTCATCGTCTGACCAGAACCTGACCCGAGCGTATGGCGCCCAGCGTGTAGCGCGCGACACTAAGAGCCATCAGACCACCACGGATAGGGCCCAACAGGGCTGATGCCGATTCGGAGTCGCGGATAACCTAACGGATTACCGGGGCTCCGGTTCGAAGCGCAGTAGAAGGAACGGGGTGATTTTACTTTTAAGTCAATAAGAATCTGATACTGCCTTCCGCCTCACTCTGGCGGGAGCAGTCATTCGATGAGTTTCCCCCCTTAAAAAAAAGGGGGTAGGCAGAGGTGCACATTATGCCACTGTACAATGTAACACCCACTTTTCACTATTTATATTATGAGTCCCATGTAATAGGGGTGAGCCTATTGCCATATACCGGGCACAATTCCAGACTCAGTGCTACTACTAAGTTTCTTTTTAAAACCCAGTAATACTTTGCCCGACTCGGGAATCGAACTCAAAACCCCTTGCTCGGCAGTCGCACTTGCAACCACTCGGCTAACGAGTAAGGGCCTCCCTTCGTGCACATTATGCCACTGCGTTCGATGAAATGAAAATAAAGTTAGCTACTTCGTTTGTTTGTTCCGAACTTGTACATTATCACGACTGTATTACTAACTTAATTTAATATTTATTTATTATTCACATACCTTTACTTTATTAAACAAACTATGTATACATGTATTGTCAATTTGTCATACATATTCGTCATAACTCAAGAGGTCAACGTACGTGAGACATACTAAATTAATTATTATGTTTTCGGCTTACTGGACTTACGAGGACGGAGGTGTCAGACTCTTACTGACTAAAAACCACCCCGTTCCTTCTCCTGCACGTCGACCCGGAGCCCCGGTTACCCGTTAGGTTCTCCGCGACTCCGAATCGGTATCGGCCCTATTGGGCCCCATCTGTGGTGGTCTGATGACTCTTTGAGGCGCGCGCGGAACGCTCGGCGCCGTACGCTCGGGTCTGTTTCTGGTCGGACGGGGAGCCACCCATGCTCGCCGTCCGCAGGCCCGCGTCTGCCTAGTGCCTACCCCTTCGGGGATAAAAGGCGTGATGATGTTATGTTATGTTCGAGCCCTCTATAACTTTAAAATTAATATTCCTTATACAACAAAACGCCCTCATTGTAAAGGTAACTAAATTACCTTTTATACGACACTAGCTACTTCCGCGCGGTTTCACACGCTCTGCTCGGCGCCTATTAACCGTAGCGTGATATTTTATAGCCTATAGCCTTCCTCGATAAATGCGCTATCCAACATAGAAAGAATTTTTCAA